TCATTGATTCCGTCACTTTAAAGTGTTGAAACTCGAATACCGCTCAAGCCGGTGCTAAATCCGGGACGTGAGGGATGTTGTATTTTTTCATTATCCCTCATGCAGAGATTAAATCAGTTTTCATGTACTTTTGTTATGACATATGCTTCCAAAGGATCATATTTCATCCTAATTATTATAATTGACGTCTCAGTAGCGTAAATTAATGTGTCTTACTTTTGGTCACTCTTAGCGAGTACTTAAAACTAAGAAATAATCATGATGAAATATATATTTGATATGCTTCACCTTCTTATATATTTTTAACTTTTTCATTTAATTTCAGTATTCATTTTTGCTGTACATGTATTGAAAGTGACTGAACACACGTACGGTTTTATACAGCACAGACTTTAAAATAAAACCACAAATTTGAAACATGTTCATAAATTTTATTAGCACTTATGTAACATAATAGCCTTCTGAAAAAAAGACAGAAATTAATCATTAACAAAAGATTGAAATAGCTTGGTGATGAGAGAGATAAAAATGCAAGAGGAAAATGTTTAATATTAAATTACTGTAACCTTTATGACGTGCATGTGTCAATGATACGCGGCTTATTATAAAGTTAAAATTACGTAATAAGCGGTCAACATACTTTGCATGTACGTTAGATCCGCTTATTAAATATGGAAACATATTAATAAGATTTTTGGTGCGAAAATTAGTAAAAAATACCAATCCGAATCCTAAGATTATCTATACATGAGCCCGGAAATTAAAATAATCACGGATATAAATTTGATTAACATATCATGACTGAGGCAACGTTTGAAAAAAAATGAAAATTTATGGATCTAATTATTATCTATGTCCGGTTCCCTAATGAATTTGCTTGTGTTTTTCATGTCTTGACTGTGTTTAAAATATTTGAATTGTATCGAGAAGTAATTATCACAAAAGAGTTCCAAGTGATGTACCGGGTGGTAGTTATCATGGCGGTACTTATCATGAGCAGGGTTCTAGTTCATAATTAGCATGATAGTTCTGACTGGCAGTTATCATAACCAGTGTTTCTTCTTTTTATATGCCGGGTCATTGTTATCAAAACCAGTGTTTCAACTGATAGTTATCATAATCAGTGTTCCAAGTGGTGTGTCAACTGGTAGTTATCATAATCAGTGTCCATATTCAAAGATCAGCATTTTTCATTACCCCTTTTCATATTCAAATATCGACTACAACCGGTTTTGAAATCGATATGTCTGGTGTTAGTTATCATAACTAGTGTTCTAATTTATATATCGACGGGTAGTTATCATAAACAGTGTTCCAATTTATATATCGACTTGATGGTTATCATAACCAGTGTTCCAATTTATATTTCGACTGGTAGTTATCATAACCAGTGTTCCAATTTATATATAAACTGATGGTTATCATAGCCAGTGTTCCAATTTATATATCGACTGTTAGTTATCATAACTAGTGTTCTAATTTTTATATCGACGGGTAGTTATCATAAACAGTGTTCCAATTTATATATCGACTGATGGTTATCATAACCAGTGTTCCAATTTATATATCGACTGGTAGTTATCATAAACAGTGTTCCAATTTATATATCGACTGATGGTTATCATAACCAGTGTTCCAATTTATATTTCGACTGGTAGTTATCATAACCAGTGTTCCAATTTATATATCGACTGGTAGTTATCATAACCAGTTTTCCAATTTATATATCGACTTGTAGTTATCATAACCAGTGTTCCAATTTATATATCGACTGATGGTTATCATAACCAGTGTTCCAATTTATATATCGACTGGTAGTTATCATAACTAGTGCTCTAATTTATATATCGACGGGAAGTTATCATAAACAGTGTTCCAATTTATATATCGACTGATGGTTATCATAACCAGTGTTCCAATTTATATATCGACTGGTAGTTATCATCACCAGTGTTCCAATTTATATATCGACTGGTAGTTATCATAAACAGTGTTCCAATTTATATATCGACTGATGGTTATCATAACCAGTGTTCCAATTTATATATCGACTGGTAGTTATCATAACCAGTGTTCCAATTTATATATCGACTGGTAGTTATCATAACCAGTGTTCCAATTTATATATCGACTGATGTTATCATAACCAGTGTTCCAATTTATATATCGACTGGTAGTTATCATAACTAGTGTTCTCATTTATATATCGACGGGTAGTTATCATAAACAGTGTTCCAATTTATATATCGACTGATGGTTATCATAACCAGTGTCCCAATTTATATATCGACTGGTAGTTATCATAAACAGTGTTCCAATTTATATATCGAGTGATGGTTATCATAACTAGTGTTCTAATTTATATATCGACGGGTAGTTATCATAAACAGTGTTCCAATTTATATATCGAGTGATGGTTATCATAGCCAGTGTTCCAATTTATATATCGACTGGTAGTTATCATAACCAGTGTTCCAATTCATATTTCGACTGGTAGTTATCATAACTAGTGTTCCAATTTATATATCGACTGATTGTTATCATAGCCAGTGTTCCAATTTATATATCGACGGGTAGTTATCATAACTAGTGTTCTAATTTATATATCGACGGGTAGTTATCATAACCAGTGTTCCAATTTATATATCGACGGGTAGTTATCATAACCAGTGTTCCAATTTATATATCGACTGGTAGTTATCATAACCAGTGTTCCAATTTATATATCGACTGGTAGTTATCATAACCACTGTTCCAATTTATATATCGACTGGTAGTTATCATAACCAGTGTTCCAATTTATATATCGACTGGTAGTTACCATTACCATATTTGAAATTGATAAAATGGTTGGTAGTTATTCTGATCTAATTTTTGAGAAATTGAATGGTAACTTTCCCTATTTCGAATTATTATTGATAAAAAATGTGAACTTTTTTTTGCCTAAATGTCGAACTTCTATTTGACTCTTTTGTATTTCATCGATATTTACGCATTAATATGTCTTATCATTCGTGTGTTTTGTGCCTTAAACATCGAGTATATTGATGAGGAAACACTCGAAACATTAAACGACAATTATTTAACAATGGTGTAAAACATTAACAAACCTTCCAAAAATATATGATAAAACAGAAAAGAGCATGTCAAGTCAAGTCAAATATTATTTTTTGTCAAAACAAATATATGTTCATCGCCAAATAACATTTTTACATTACATAAGAAAAGTATGGTAGACAGTTAACAAAACTACTATAAAAATATCAAAATGTCTATAGGAGTCACAGAAGTAAATACAGAATATATTAATATAGGAACAAATACCTACATATATAAAATCAACTGTTTGAGCTTCTCTCATACATAGCACAATAAATAAACTTAGCTTAATTAACAATTCCATCCTTTTGCGGAGATTGCGTACTAGTAATAGATATAAATCTATTGATGGTTTATTTAAAATGGCATGCAAAATAGCATTCTATAACACACAAACATAAAATTTCATTTCAAGTACAAATCTGCTAAAAATGTAAGTTGACACAGCCATCACTTTTTTTAAAGGTTAAAAAGGTTTCAAAACATGTTGTCTTGAAAATTTTAGTCAGAATTTGACGTCGGGGAACTTTTGATTTTGTAATGATACCGATATTTTCGGAACGCATGGGAATTATCTATCACATTGGCGGAGCAAACAATGGATATTTTAATTAATGAAGTTGGTGTTTAAGACAATATCAGCAAAATTGTTCGTGGGCAGAATAATCTTAAACATGAAAGTCTAAATATATATGATAATGATAAAATTTACCTTTGAAAGAAATTCACATGTATATTCAATATTATAGTCTTGTGTACAGTTATCTTTAGACGTTGCAAATTCAACACAAGAATACGACATATCATTACCCCACCGCTGTACCTCTATTAAATTTTAATAAATGATGTCTAATTAAGAAAAGAAAATACGAAAAATATAAGGTAAATAAAAGATGAATTAAATGAAAATAAGTCTATGAATAGCATAAATGTATACATTTATGTAAATCGATTGCTTGTTTTCGGAGTTTTTCCTCAGTTTGATATAATGTAAAAGAAACACAGTTTAGTGAAATTGTCATTTATTTAAAGGTACATTATGCCTCAGCAACGAATGAATTTTTACCTCTTTACAAAGGGAAAACATGAGTTTTATAATGTTTAAATAATAGTAAAAAGCACGAAGGATGCTTGTTTTCTTGAGAAAGTCTGGTTAAACGTGAAATAATTTGTCATGAATTAAAGAAACATTATGTAAAAGTATTTTGACTTCCATACATATAATACTAAATGACTATAACTGTACAAATTACCAAAAAGAAACAACAGAAAAATATGGTTCAAGAAATTGGCCAGTGAGTTACTTTTTAGAAACTTCATAAGTAGACCAAAAATTAAAAGTTTTTGACAACTAACGAAAAATTATTCCTGAGTCATAATGGACCTTTAATAATTAAATGACGGGGTAACGCATAATAAGGTAATAAATGTATATGTAGAAAAAAATATAAAGAAAAATATATTATCAACAAAAAAAAAACAAAAGGCGTAAATGAAATATTTCAATACAATTAATTTACGCGCATAATTATTAATTGTTGTGGGAAAATAATTTGAATGAAAAATCTGAATGAAATTGTCAATCCGCCTTAGATAATCTACCGCAAATTGTCTATATTTAGTTTTCACATATCTATTTCGCTTAATTCATTTGCTTATCAGCCAGGATGACATAACAAATTAAACACAATTAGCGTGCGTTGCACAGGAGTATTTTACAAAAATATGCGGACCGATTTGCATAATTAATTTCCGTAGGTGTACGTAATGCGCACGCGGTTTGTTGTCTCTTTAACTTCCGACACTACGTCATTTTTGCGGGCCTGTTCTGTTTACACAGCAAAGATAGCCCGGCCCAAAGGTGGGCCCGATTCATATAAAACAAGGCAATTGACAGAGTGTGTTCATTATCCACTGAAAGTTTACTTCGTAAACATATCACAAACACGATAAAAACTTTCAGTAAAGTCGGAAAATTTTACAGAGTTTAAGAAACTTCACTTCGAAAAAAACAACACAAACTGAAAATGTTTGTATACGGAGCAATTTTATTCATTACACTTGGCGTTGTAAGAGCCGATCTACCAAAATGCGTTGCAGGAAAGTATCAGATTATTCCGAAATTGGACTGCACCGGATATTACCTATGCGTTTTCGGAAAACCCGTGGAAATGCCAGACTGTCCCCCTGGTTCAGCGTTCAGCACGTCTGCGCACGTGTGCGTTCCTAAAGATAGCATATACGACGACTGTAAACTAGATGTTATGCCAACAGTTCCAGACCTCGGTAAGACCTTTGGATATTTATCTTTTTATATTCATTGCCTGATAGCTGAGTATTTTCAAAATTCAGATCGTCCACTGTCTAGGTAAAAAAATATAAATAAATAAAAAGAAAATGAAACGAATTTCTATTAGATGTTCAATGCATCAAACCAAAAAATGACATGCAAGGAATAAAACTTTCGGTACGGTCAATAAAACTTTACAGAATCACAAGTCAATCGATCTGTGATTTACACATTTGATTTCTTACGTATATATTTTTTCATTGTCCGCGATATCGTATTCATTTTTTTTATGTTTTACTATAACCATGGTATATGTTCCTCCTTGTTAATTTGTTCATAATCAGTTTAGATAACTCAAAAACAAAACTTTGATTGAAAATTGAAAATGAAAATGATATTGTATAGAAGTATACAGTTGTAAATTCCAATTAATAAACATTACAATATATGCTAGAAATAGATATCAAATAGAAGTTAGTAATGCTTATTAATAAAACATAAAAGTATTTATATGCGATAAAAATTACGATCTTAAGAAAAAAATGTGCGATTTGAGAATAAATTATTTTCTAACAGTATTAAACGAGTATTGTATTAAGTAGGAAAGAAGTCACATCATGATTTTTGTGAAATATAATTCTTACAATGAGACCTTTTAATTATATCATTGAAACCTTTTTCTTTTCCATTGTGTTGCTTACCGCAATTTAAATTTAATTAAGTCATACATGTTTTTTGTTTTATATCTAATATATGATTGATAATAAAAAAACTGTATGTACGAAATGATGAATAAACAGACCTTAAAATGTTTAAAAATCTGTACCGATGTCTAACTAGAAGTGGAGAAAATTACAATTAGCTTTGAGCTTTCAGTTTAATCCACTTTATCATGATTTTGTATAAATTGTGTGTTTCATGTGTTGTATTGTAACTTATGTTCAAACCAAAATGTTTAAACAAATGGGAAAAAATATAGAAAAATACAAATATGTATCATGAAATATATAGTTACAACATGTTTTGAAACATTCTGGTTATTTATAATAAATTATGTTTACAATGAGGCCTGGCGAAATTTACAATTTTAGATTTGTTTAACATGACGAATTGTCATGATGCCGATTCATTAATTCTCAAAACGAGGCTAACTATCCTAAAACATGCTTGATGTAAACGCTTGATTATTTTAACACTTGTAAACATATCCATTAAAGAATATATTCTAATTCTGTTGACATATTTTCAATTGGACAAAGGGAATCTTAATTGAATATCATCAATTAAACGCGCATAAAAATGGGAGGTTTCATTCATTTAAATATTTCATTGCTGATTGATTCAAATAGGTTTTTAAACAATTTAAAATATGGAAAACATGTTGTTTTTCTTTTTGAAATGACATCACAATCAATTGTTATTTGTTTACACAGTTAACGGGGCTTATCAAGCGTCAAGAATGACTTTTACAAAATAAACGAGAGAAAACAACAGTTTTTGACAAGTTTTCATTAGATCTACTTTGCATATTGTATATATGATTTATTATTATTTCATGAACTGTTAATCATGTGTTTTTATTCAATGAGCCGCGTCACGACAAAACCAACATAGTGCGTTTGCGACCAGCATGGATCCAGACCAGCCTGCGCCTCCGCGCAGTCTGATCAGGATCCATGCTGTTCGCTTACAAACTCTATTACAAGTAGAGAAACTGATGGCAAACAGTATGGATCCTGATCAGACTGCGCAGACTGGATCCATGCTGGTCGCAAACGCATAACGTTGGTTTTGTCGTGACCTGGCTCAAATAGTTACTGTTAAGAAATTCTTTCTATTATACCAATTTCTATAAATTTCTTATCTCAACAATTATGAATTTTAACAATTATGATATTACAGGTCCATTGACTATCGCAGAGCAGTGTCATGTAAAGGGCGGATTAATTCCTCACCCCGACGAGTGCCAAGCATATTATAACTGCAGTCACTGGTACGAGTCCGTGCCAAGACACTTTGAACAACACTTGCAAGAGTGCCCCTACCCTCAGCTCTTCAGTTCAGAGACCGGAAAATGTGAACATTTCGAAGACGTAAAATGCGGAGAACGAAAGGTCTTTAAAAACGGATGTAAGTACGGCTTTAAATGTATTTAATTAAGGTAAATTGTACAAAACGTTTGCAACATCGGTTTTCATTGAACACTAGTGACGCCAAATAATTATCACAAGTTACAAATTTAAGATTTTCTTAGATAAAGCAAAAAATTATGCAGTTATTTTTCGTTAAAAAGATTAACTTTATTACGGTTATATGGCCTAAAAGACGAGGTTATATAGGCTCCAAACGTTTTTCACGGATTCATATAACCTTTCAAAATTCTTTATAACTAATAATTTATTCATGTTTACATTCCGAAGGTTTAATAAATTTATTTGAACAATAAGATTTTGATTCAATATGCTTCTATTTGACCGAATGACCATTTTAAAACTTACGACGGTCAAGCATATGTAAATAGATTTCATCAAATTAATTTAAATAATCTCTCGGTACTTATAAAACAAACAGTTCCATTATTTTTGTTCGCCTTGTTTATTGTCTTTAATTTATTTAATAATCATATTAAGAGGTTTTCGCATTAACAAACAGTTCATTCTTTTTAACGAATTAACATTGGTCTATCAATGAAAGTGTTCATAGTCAATAAGCCAAAAAAACTAAATATTAAGTTTTATATTTCACAATTATAGGCAATTACAGAAGAAATCAATGCCCAGTCGCCCACTGTGTCCCGTGCAGTGTAAGATTACCAAGCTGCGAAGGAAAGCCCGACGGAATCCATGCCCATGAAGTCAAACTGTGGAGCCCATACTTTGTCGACTGCTACAAAGAACGCACTATTTCGGAAAGAATATGCAAAGCAGACGAACATGGACGAACGCAGATTTTCAACCCGGAACTAAACGAATGCGTTTCAATGGACCAAATTCCACGTGCTCACGGCGGTATGATGCCAGACTGCACCAATTTAGCTGACGGGTTCTACCTCGATGAGTTTGGTCGCTGTGACCGGTACACTGTCTGCAGAGGGGGCAAGTTTTCAAATTTTGTGAAATGTCAGCCTGGCGAGACTTTTGATGCTTTCCATGATGTGTGCATGCCCGAAAAGAAGACATGTGGCCCGTGTGGAAACAGATCCGATTGGTGAGTCAGTTTGAAACTTTCAGAATAAATAGATAATGCTATGATAGCGCAACTTTTAATATATATTTCTGGCGATGTACTGTATCTTTTCATTTACAAATCACTAAAGAGCTATCAATTCCTTTCTAAATATATGTATTTAATCAATAACCATATGTAAGTTTTGTGACAATATTACATCTTTGAAGTAGAAAATGTAATTTCTTTATTAATTCAATGTTCATTATCTCTTTCAATATATTCGAAATTGAAATGACATCTTTTTTATTCTTTCAGCTAAAGTGAGAACGACGAAGACATTTTGAGGGATAACGTGGCGTCACTCAACAACGTCATGTTATTACAGTTTATGGAAAAAGGCGTTGAATGTTTCGTGCTGAAAAGCAATGTAATAGCAGATGAAATGTTTCTTTAGACACATGACTTTGTATTATATCTGTGATATTTTCATTATTTATTAGTTTATTCTGTCGTTCTTTTCATTTTGGGTAATTTTGTTGTTTGTATTAACACATCGGTCACTTTATTGTGTAAGTTTTCAATCATATCTATGTTTGAAGTATTTCTGTTAATAAAACGATCAGGGATCAACCTTCATACATTTTCGAGCAACGCCTTTCAATGGTTCTTAAACATTGTTTTTAAAGAAGAAATGTATGTCTAACGTCTACTTATAGAAACGAAATCACGAATCATGTTATAGGCAATTAATCCATAATGAGTTCTTAAAACTCCGGCATATTTCGACATTTTCGGTGTCTTATATAAATAATAAGCGTCAATGGAATCGGGACTAATAAAAAATCTAGTGGCTCAAACGCTTTCCAAATAAATATGAGATACGGAAAATGACGGAGTTGTCCGAATTTGAACGAGTATGCAATGGAGGTACTACCTTAATAAGTTTATTTACATGTCTAATACATTATGATACATTAAATTTTATTTGCAACAATTACATGCATGAAAATACAAATGTAATTATGTGAACTAATAATTATGTTCTTTTTTGCTTTAAAATTGTGAATATTAGAAATTAAATTGTGTACATAATTTCAAACAAAGCGAAACATGCATTCTTGTTCAAAAACATTCTGTTGTTAGAAATAACATTCGAAAAGTTGTTCTATAGACACAATCTCCTGTTTGTTTAATGTAAACAATATATGTATACAAGAAAATTGGATTAATTTGAAACATAAAATGCATTTTGCGAGTTTGTTTTTTAAATTTTAATAATGAAATGCGTAAAAATGGCGTAGAAAAAAGTATAAATATGATGTGTAAATTGCATTTTGTCATTTTAACTGAAGAACTTATTATCTATTTGTTTAGTATAAAAAATGAAGTTAGGCCCCGATCTGATTTGCGAAAAAAAAAAATTTTCTTGTTAAATAACCACTGTTCAATGTATTGACATTTTAATGTAAAAATACAGATCGTGAAATAGATTTCAAAAATAAGTACCCCATGATTTTTTAAAGAAACATTTAGTTTTTCAAGATACTTTAAGAACTACAAGTATTGTTACTTTGACACTTCTTTTCAGAATAATAGTCAGTTAGTTATGTTAAGTCACTGTCGGCATATATTTTGCTAGTTTTATATTTATGATATTTACGCAAATGCAAATTATGTAGAAAGTTGACAAAATAATGTCTTTGATTTATGAAATCCAACTGATCTTGCAATAAATTCTATGTACACACATTTTGTCTTCATTTTATTTATTTACAAATATCTTCGCAATAAATTGGCTGCGTCTTCCGCAGTAGATCTCCATCTAATGGACTTGCCCAGTAACACACCGTATTACCGGCGGCAGTGATGGCAGATCACTGCAGTGATGGCAGATATCTGAAAATTACCGATCGATACAGGTAGGTTATAAATTTGGTTGGTTTAATTATATTACACAAATACGGCCCATTTCATTGCTATAAAACTATTGTCCATTGAATGGAGATACTGTAAGGTAATTTTGGACTCGTTTTTTCCTGTTTTCAGACTATTTTGAGCAGGTTAAAAGTGAAAGCCTTAGAAAAATCCGTGAAAATGTCTGTTTTCTGTTCAAAATATCTCAAGTTTTAAGTAAATGGCAGGATTTCCTGTTATCAATATAGACGTTCATCCATTGGGGTCACGCAAGCCAAATATCTACCACGTGAGTCTTTTCTTGAAAGTTTTACAGACGCTCACTCTTGTCCGGTCGAAGAAAAAATGCTGCCGTTGTAGGCAGATACATATTATAAATGCTGCCGTCGATGGCAGAAATACCATGAAAGTGGCTAACATTCTGACAGAAAATCAAGTTCAATCTTTTATCAATTCCTCTTTTCTTTGCGTCCTTTTAGTCAGAATTGAGAGGTTAAACTATCATTTCTAATATTTTCTCAAGATAGAAAAGTTATTAACCCATTACCCCATGAGCATCTTGTGAAAAATGGCTGTTTTCATTGAAAGGTCTCCCGTTACAAGTTCAAGTTGCTATAAAACTATAAAACTGCTTCAAAACTAATCAAACTTGGCACAAATGTTGACTGGACCATTGCCTTTGTAACAACATGTTCAGTCTGAAATTTCCTGTTACCATAGCCACTAGGGGTCATCTCAAAATTGCCAAAAATCACTATTTTGCGTTGATTTTTTTTCCATCAAATTTGATTTAAAAGTGCTGCCACTTCTCAATGGATTGAGATAGAGTCAAAGGCTTTTCAGCATTGGTTACACGTTACCTTATGATGATGACCTGGGGCCATTTTTAGCCTCCCACAAGTCCAAAGTTTTCTTGGCGATGAGGGCTCAGCCCCCCCCAAACCCCCCCCCCCCCAAACAGAAGGGGGCACATCCCCCTTCTGGCAACCCCCTGATGTATCTTTTGGATGGGGTTGGGGGGCCGAAAAAGTGGTCAATTTTTTTTAAACAACATTTATCAAACAAAAACAAGTGTTTGGGGCCTAAATAAGGCATTTTTTCACCATTTGAGAAAGCAAAAACGGAGGGGGGGGTGAAAAAGGCGTAGAAAGGCGTATATATCTGGTAATGGGTTAACAGAAAATGATGAAAAAAAAAACGAAATTACCCAAAAACGCGTTTTTCCATGTTAAAACATGGCCTCACATATAATTTTGAAGAAAAATTGCTGTTTTGTAGATTTTTTGATTTTTTTCATTAATGCGGTATGTGCATCGAAAAAAAGCTTATTAGCAACATGCAGTTACAATACAAAAAGTTATGATTTAGTACCACAAAATTTCACTATAAATAGAGAAATGAACATGAAAAACTTCATTTTTCTATATTCATGCATGTGTGCTTGATCTGTTGTGTCTGTCAGTTACATGCATACAATACTATATATGTATCTTAAGTTTAGCAGCGCACTCCCTTTTTAAGACATAACGCCAATTGCATATTAATACAGCAAGTAACTTCTGTAAGTGGATATTCATTTGCTAGCATATGACATTATTTTCTCGAGGTAATAATGTTCATCGCTTTATGACAAATAAAGGCTGAAATTTACTTAATCGGCGCAGATTATAAATTATTAAATTGATGTAATAAAGGGGAGACTATTAACCTCGCAACTGGCATCAGTGTATCATAAAACAAGTAATAGAAAGAGAACCGAAACACGAGGCTATCTGATTTGTACGAGGGGGCGTAGCCCCCCGAGTATAAATCAGATTGCCGAGTGTTTTAGTGTTCTTTCTCTTTTGTATCATAGTCAAACATAAAAACACATTCCCTGCTGTCACAATATGAAACCCCGGGAAAAAGTAACCAATGAACGAACATCTGAATATGATATTTCTATCGCTTTCCCTTTCTCTTCCGTCACAATATGTAAACCCCAGCAAAAATGAACCAATCAATGGGCACGCTCTGTAGAGTGCGGGTAACTAATACCCGCACTCCAGTTAACGCACTGTACATGTATATGTAAACGATTTAACTCTGACACATTTTCAACAGAAAAGTCCCCAAACTATGATACAATGTATGTTAATGTAAAATGGAAAGATAATATTATTGACAGTTCAAATATTTTCCTATATTATCAAGTTCTTGAAAAACACGACAACGTGGATTCATTTCTTTAAATTTTCATGTTTGTAATAGCGTTGTAGTTTGCCTTTGAATTACATTTACTATGCTAAACTATTAACAACAGTTCTAACATCACGTGCTCCCTTTTAACTATATATTTTTTCATTAATTTTAGTTGTAACCATGACAAGTAATAGAAAGAGCACCGAAACACGAGGCTATCTGATTTGTACGAGGGGGCGTAGCCCCCGAGTATTAATCAGATTGCCGAGTGTTTTGGTGTTCTTTCTCTTTTGTATCATAGTCAAACATAAAAGCAAGTTCCCTGTTTTCACAATATGAAACCCCGGCAAAAATGAACCAATGAACGAACATCTGAATATGACATTTCTGTCGCTTTCCCTTTCTCTGCCGTCACAATATGTAAACCCCAGCAAAAATGAACCAATCAATGGGCATGCTCTGGAGTGCGGGTAACTAATACCCGCACCCCAGTTAACGCACTGTGCATGTATATGTATACGATTTAACCCTGACACATTTTCAACAGAAAGGTCTCCAAACTATGATACAACTTATAAAGATGAACCTTTCGATGATTCATATCACAAGATGAAAATAAATCCTGTATTTATAGGGAAAAAACTAGAATTTTTTGATTTGTTATATTCTTTTTCTCTTTTTTGACCTTTCAATTCATATGAACAGATCAAGCACACATGCATGAATATAGAAAAATGAAGTTTTTCATGTTCATTTTTCTATTTATAGTGAAATTTTGTCGTACTAAATCATCACTTTTTGTATTGTAACTGCATGTTGCTAAAAAGCTTTTTCCGATGCACACACCGCATTAATAACTTTTCTATCTTGAGAAAATATTAGAAATGATAGTTTAACGTCTCAATTCCGACTAAAAGGACGCAAAGAAAAGAGGAATTGATAAAAGATTGAACTTGATTTTCTGTCAGAATGTTAGCCACTTTCGTGGTATTTCTGCCATCGACGGCAGCATTTATAATATGTATCTGCCTACAACGGCAGCATTTTTTCTTCGACCGGACAAGATTGAGCGTCTGTAAAACTTTCAAGAAAAGACTCACGGGGTAGATATTTGGCCTACGTGACCCCAATGGATGAACGTCTATATTGATAACAGGAAATCCTGCCATTTACTTAAAACTTGAGATATTTTGAACAGAAAACAGACATTTTCACGGATTTTTTCCAAGGCTTTCACTTTTAACCTGCTCAAAATAGTCTTAAAACAGGAAAACACGAGTCCAAAATTACCTTACAGTATCTCCATTCAATGGACAATAGTTTTATAGCAATGATATGGGCCGTATTTGTGTAATATAATTAAACCAACCAAATTTATAACCTACCTGTACCGATCGGTAATTTTCAGATATCTGCCATCACTGCAGTGATCTGCCATCACTGCCGCCGGTAATACGGTGTGAGTAAGTATGGAATTTATTGTCCATTGGTCGTATCAGGGTTTTCAAAACCAAATTACTCAAATATTGAGCAAACAACAGTATAGGGAGTCTGTAGCGTTTGCTCCACCTAATTTGCCTAATGGATTTGCCCACGTATGAGTTTGGAACTATCCATTGGTCGTATCAGGGGTTTCAAAATCAAATTACTCAAATATTGAGCAAACAACAGTACTAGTACGGGACCTGGACACGATGCAAGCACTGTGTTTCAGAATGGAATGTCCTTGCTATAACTCTACTTTATGCTATGTTCTCACCGCCGATCAGATCAACTCGATCGTCCCGATCACATTAATTTCCCGATGAAGCCCGACCAAGCTGGATTACATGCACATTCAAGACTCCTACACGACCTCAAGTCGACCCTACACGATGTTTTACGACTTCATCTCGACGACAAACCGACCAGCATCCCGACTTCTTCACGATCACCCACACCTATACGCGAGTCATACACGATCTCAACTAGACTAACTGGACCTCTGCTCGATCGTTGCCAGATTTCCACCCGACCAGATCGTAATGATCGTAATCGAGTCGTGAATAGTCGTGTATCGAATTGTTTAGAATAAAATCTTCAAACATTCCTGGTTCAAATCAGTTCATGATGGAGATTGAGCAGTTGCAGTTGTGGTCCAGATGGTCCTACTACTCGTACTGCATGTTGCCTTTTTGCCCTTTCTAGGCATTTTTGTTGTCAGAATTTGGAAGTTGCTCTATCTTCAAATTTGTAACAGCTAATGAGACACCAACAATAAGTTTACATCTATATATTGTTTAGGTCACGTGAACTCGTGTATGGTCGAATAACTATCGGGAAGCGATCGTGTGTGGTCGTGTAGCAGTCGGGTAGTAGTCTAGTTATTCTGGACAATAGATCGAACAGAGGTCGAGTTGATCGGGTTGCGATCGGATAATGCTCGAGTAGAAGTCGACATGATGGTGTACAGATCGGGTAAGAGATGTATACCCGATGTATACCCGACCAAACTAGATCGTTACACGACTTATTCTCGATCAACTAGATCTTCTACTCGATCACTTATCTACTCGATCGCTATTCGAATTCTTTGACATGTCAAAAAAATTCTGGTAGGAAGCCCGAGCCATGCCGACCAAGGTAGACCGCTCCGACCACTCCCGATCACGCAT